GAGCAGGGAGCCCGATGCGGGGCTCGATCCCAGGACCCTGGGACCATGACCTGAGCCGAAGGCAGACGCTTAACCGACTGAGCCACCCAGGCGCCCCAAGTGTCCGACTCTTGCTTTAGGCTCAGGTCATGATCTCAGGGTCCTAAGATTGAGCCCCACGTTGGGCTCCAGGCTCAGCCTGGAGTCTGCTTGGGATTTTCTCTCTCCCTCTGCCCTTCCCCCTGCTCACACGCTCTCTCTCTCTCTCTAATAAGTAAAAAAAAAAAAATCATTAAAAAAACTTCTGAAATTGTTGAGGTTGATTAGCTATGACCGTAACCTATGCAATCATGTGTTCACTGGTCACATACAAGTTCAGGGATGCCAAAAATGATGAGGAGGTAGACATTGGGCTATTCTACTTTGCAAGGCCAAAATGGAAGTTAAAAAGCTAATTTTGACTGAATAGCAAAATCTGGTGGAAATGAAGATTGAATCCAACCTTTGGGGCACCTCTTCATCTGCCTCTTTCTTCAGGCCTTCACTGTTCCACGTTCTCTAAAACGGCCCTGTTGTAACTCTTCCCACTCATACTGAAATATCATCCTGGGTATGCTCAGTGACCCTGTGGATGTCTGTGTACATACGGCCCTTTCGGCTCCTTGAATCCCACACCCCAGTGGCCTCCACCTCCACTCCCCATGAGGCAGCCCCTTCAAATGGCCACCCCCGGGGTCTTGTCCACCACGGCTGCTCCTTGCATCTGAAGCCTGGGAATCCCACTTTGCAGCCACCACACGACACCCTTCCTTGTTTGCAGCTTCCCCTCAGCCTCACTCCCAGCACATCTGTTCGTCTGTGTCATGGGGACCTCCGGGGTCTTGATCTCCCCGCCGCCACCCCCGACCTTCGCCCCCATGGTCAGCAGCTCCCCCGGCCCCTCCTCCCTCAGCGCCTGCCTTATAAAACCCTAACCCTGGATCAGCCTGTTGCCTGCAGGCCATGGAGATAAAGCCCCCACTGCTAGATTCCCTCACTACAGACGGCCCGCCGTGCACCGGCGCGCCTTCCCTGCAGCGGCTAGTCCAAACCTTCCCAACCTCACCCAGCCTCACCCTGCTTCCGCTCAGCAGACCACCTCCACTTCTCCTGGCACCCGCTCCCGGACCCAAGTCCCCAGCCCGTGGAGCAAGAGGCTTTTCGAGGAGGGCCGGAGGCCTGCCTCCCCATCCTGGATCTCCCTGGGTGGGGGGGGGGGCGCGCTCCAGGGCACAGCCTCGACATCCTCCCTTCCCTCTCTTCTCCGCATGAGCCCATTTTCTCTCAAGGTCTTACGACTACACACAAGCTGAAGACTCAGCTCGCCCTGCAAGCTTCCAGCTCAGTAAGACCTGGCTCCCACCTGCATGTGCTTCAAGCCCAGCATGTCCCAAACCGGTCCTTCTGTTCTTCCCCCAAACCCCCTCCCTCAGCACCTCCGTTTGGCTGACTCCAACTCCTATATGTTTTTTAAACCCACTGCCCTTCTCTGGGCCTATGTATAGCTTTGGCCCTTACCCAGCCCATTGGGAAATGCGGTGGAGTGCCTCCGAAGAATGCCTCTCCCCTCCCTTGAGTCTAGGCTGCCCCTGAGCTGCTCTGACCAACAGGAGGTAGGAGGAGTGATGCTCCGTGGCTCCTGAGGCCAGGCTTTTAGAGGCCTCAGAGTTTCGGCTTGGGTTCTCACATCTCCGTCCCTTGGCTCCAGCCGTGCTGCTTCTAGGGGAGTCCAGGCTAGACTCCAGTGATTGAGGCATAGTACCCAAAGCTCAGGCCACCCCCGTCTCTCTGGCTAACCCCTGCCACCCCAAGGCACGCTCTGGGTTCTGGAACTGCAGGCTCCTGCAGGTCCTGTAAGCTGGCCAGAACGTTTCCTGTCCCTTGCCTCTGGGCCCATGCCGTCCGCAGCGTCCCCCCGCCAGCCCTCTGGCCCCAGGCCCTGTCACGGTCCCCTCGAAGCCCTCACTGTGTGCCTCTCAGGTCACCACAGCATGGCCCCACCACACTGACCCCAATTTCCATGTCAATTTCCCGATGGACTGGAAGCTACTGAAGGAGAATATATTTTTTGACTCTTTATAATCCCCGGTGTCTAGCATATGTTAGACATTCAATAAACGTTTGGTCAATGAAATGAAATTTGCTCATTCTGCTTTAGCCGATAGTATCTTTATCATCTAGTCTTATTCCATGACTGGTATCCTTGCCCTGAGGAGAGCATGAGTACCTTGCTCTTCTGTCCCCTGTCCCCCCATATGATAGACAGACTCAGACTCTGGTTCTGGCCTCGAGGTCTGGCCAGGTGATTCGGGGGCCCCGGCCGTGGCACTCACAGGTATGAAAGGGTGTCCTGTCCGGCAGGGAGCGGGTTTTCCTCCGGATAGGCAATGACTTTTCCATCTCTTCTTTCAAGATCATCTTTCCCAAGTTGGAAGTAACCTGGGGAAGGAGAGAGGAAGACATCCGTACCCCATTCTCCTCTCCATCGGAGCTGGGTATCTGCAGGCAGAACTGGGGACAGGTTTCCAGAGCGGCTGTGCTGTGCCCTGGAGCCCGTGGGGCCTGTCACCCTGGTCTGATGGCGCTACCACGCTGGCTCTGGCCACGCTTGAGAGCGAAGCGTCGGCGCTGCTCCATGTAACTGCATCCACGTGGCCTCTGCACGCCACGGCACTCTCCCAGAGCACCCGCCCAGGCCATTCTTGGCGACCTTTCCATGACTCCCGACTTCCTCTCTCCTGCTCTCCCTGCTCCTCTTCCCACGAACTTAGCCTCCTGAAGCCTGGCACTGGGAGGGAGGCACCCTTTTCTTTCCTTTAATCCTAAGTTAACTAGTGTATCTCCAAAGCAGCATGAAATCCTGGTGTCCCTTCAGCAGCAGCAACCTGATGTCCTGGGAAGAAGGGGGAATTCCTCATGTTCGTAAGGGGATGTTTTTCAGGCACGAAACCATTCAGGACAGAACAGCTAGAGACCTGGGACTTCTGTCCCCAAGAAGACATGGGCAGGGTGGCTGGGGCTAAGTGAGATGCTACCTTACTGAGTTCCTCTCGCTGACGCTCCCTGAGAGCCTTCATCTCCTCCCCGGAGTCATCATCTTCCTCCTCTTCCTCTTCTTCGGCGCCCCTCCGAGATGCCTTCCGTTTCCTCCATTCTGTCTCTGGGGAACACGGGCAAAAGCAGGCTCGTCAATCCACCATTCACTCAGCAAGCACTTATCAGGTGCTGGCTTTGTGCGTGCCACCGGGCTGCCCGTTCAAGAGAACGGTACACATTTTGTAAAAAATAAAAGGAGGGCGCCTGGGGGGCTCAGTCGGTTGGGCGTCTGCCTTCGGCTCGGGTCATGACCCCGGGGTCCTGGGATCGAGCCCCGCGTCTGGCTCCCTGCTCGGCGGGAGCCTGCTTCCCCCTCTCCTCCCTGCTCCTGCTTTCTCTTGCTATCTCTGTCTCTCTCTCTCTACAATAAAGTAAAATCTTTAAAACAAAAAATAGAAGTAACATTCTCTAGCCTTGTGGTAAAGCTGAGGAGGCAACACACAGTCACATGACCTAAGTTCACTGGGGACCGAGACGTTGTCTCATTCCTTTTTCTCTCTTCCAGAGCTTCTATCACAGAGCCTGGGGTGCCGACATTTGGTCAATGTCTGCTGAGTGGTCCAGTAAGTGAATGGAAAGGGATTGAAAGACCAACAAGCAGGGCCGCGCACACCCAGAGCTAGAGGAAGGCAGGGAATAGTGATGAGCCAGGGGGGTCATGAAGGACATAGGGTGGCAGTGGGGAGAAGGTGAGTTCAAGGACCTTCAACAGGGACTATGAGGCGGCGTCCCGGGCCGCCCCTCCCCTCTCCAACACGGTCTCCTACCCACGACAGCCAGCGACGGGGGGCAAGGCCAATAGTCGGTTTCAATCTTGGCTGGCTGGTTGGGGTCAGGCGGCTGGGCTGCAGGGAACTTGGAGGACTCGATGATGAGGTCCTCGATGAGGTGCTTGCTCTGAGGGCTGCCTCCCGTGGACTCTGCAGGCGGAGGCCAGGGTCAGTCCCCACCCCAAGCCAGGCCACCTCGGCCCACCCTAGCCCCCAACTCCCTTTCCTATCCCTGTTCACACCTGTGGCACCGTGGGTGTGAAAACAGGGCACAACAAAGCGCACAGGGCAGAGGTTACGTATGTTATGAACAGCATTTTCCCCACGGCCTCCCAGCCCAGCTCGGTGAGGGGAGCCCTCACCTCTCTGCTTGTAGATAGGTGGCTTCTTGTAGATGTTGGAATCTGGGCGGGTGGTCTCTGTGGACAGGGAGCAAGAGCCAATGAGAAGAAGGATGTGCTGACGGTGGGCGATGCCAGCTCAGTAAGGAGAAGGGCACAAACAGGATGGGAGAAAGCAAGGAAATTCACAGGCTCCTGCCCAGAGCCAAGACAGAACCAGAGTTTCTGGAACTGTCCCTCAGGGGGTTGGGGCTTTTTGCACTTTTCTGGTTGGGTGGGAGCAAAGGCATGACAGGGCCCATTATTTCGGGGAGTTCTGCCTGGGGTCCTGGCATCAGGGGGTCCGGCCATTCTGGGGTGAGCATATACCCCAGAGAGTAGAGGATTGAGAATAAGAAGCTTGGCTCCCTGTAGGAAAAAGAGGTCCTAGGAAAGGGCGCCGCCACACTGACAGTAAAACCTACCAGGATGGTGGAAATGGGGTAGGGGGGTCCGGGGGGTCCCGGTGGTTCTTGGGGCCGAAGCCTGAGAGATGGTTCCAGGGGACCGGCTCTCCGCCCACACCTGCAGAGCAGAAGTGTGGTTGACTGAAGCTCCCAGGTCCCCCACCCTACCCTCTCCAACCCATGGAGACCCTGCTTCACCTCACTCCACCATTTCTGTCCCCCCACCCTAGCAGCCCATGAGCCCCCAACCCCAGGGCAGAGGAAGGGTATCCAAGGACTCGACCTGCTGATGGTGTCTGACCCAGGGAGTAAGGGTTAAATGAGGTCCTGGGTCAGACAGACAAATGGACCCAGAGCTGGTCGGCGACAGGATGAGGTCATCCCGTGGGCTCTGCATCTGTGTGGGGGTGGGGAGCTGGGCAAGTGTCAGGTGTGGGGCAGACTCACCTCTGGGGATGGTGGGGGGGATGTGGATTTGGGTGACAGTGAGCGCTGCGGATGGAGAGGAGGCTGGTCAGAGCCACAAGGGTAGGGGGAAATGCTCATCCCTCGAACCCCGGAGGGGCCACTTCATCCCCCACCCAACTCTGCACCCTTGCCCGGCCAATTTCTGAGCCACGTCTTCTGTCTCAGTCCTTGCCAGTTCCCAGCACTGGCCCTCCATCCTTCTCCCTCTTAGCGCTCTCCTGGGCAGAGTCCTCTCTTTCTCTGGATGCGTGAAGAAGGCACGGATCTTGCAGCAGTGTGCTTGTGCTCTGAGGGCCAACTGAAGGTGGCTCTGGCCCTGTCTTCAGAGCCTAGCACCCAGGGGGAAGGGCCAAGAGCCACACGCATCCAGGATGGAGTCTGGGCTCCCTGCAGGGCAGTTAAGTCTCCCCACAGCCTGCCTCCAGCTCACTGCTCAGCTGTGACACTACCCCTTTCTGGAATACAGTTTACAGAGTAGTTGCTGTGAGTTATCTCTGGCACTTAAATCACTGGTGAGGTGGATGGGCAGATGTATCACCTCTATTTTACAGGAGGGGAAGCTGAAACCACGCCTTCACACAGTCACTCAGCGAGGACTTCCAGCTTCCCAGTCCAGTGTTCCTGAGGGCTTTGAGCCAATTTGCTCTTTCTGTCCATTCCTACGCTTCTCCTCCAGGGCCCCGGCCCCCAGCTCTGTGCGGCTGCCATTCAAACATGGCCTCCCCTGTTCTCTACATGGAGCTACCCTCCAGCCTCCAGCCGGTCTCTGCCCGCTCTCCACAGACACTGCGGGGACCACTGGTTGATTTCTGCCCACAGTTCCCTTTCTTGTTTTGGAGTGTGGCCGCCAGGAAAGGAAGCATGAGAAGGATTCCGCCTCCTCCCCTGTGCAGCTGGGGGAGCCCTTCCCCCAAGTCCCGTCCAAGAGGAGCCTCCCACCCCTCACCTCCCGGCTTCTGGGCAGCTCCACGTGTTCCAGGACAGAATAGGTAAAGTGGGGCTCATAGATCATGAGGTCAGGCCGCTCGATGTCCAGGATGGCCTTGTCCTTGGGGATGGCAGCCAAGTCCTTGTAGCCCAGCACCTGATTGTCCATCTTGGCCTGAAGGGAAATGGTAGGAATGGAGCAGATGTGCCGAAAGCCTCACCTAGAATACTGGCCTTAGGAGCTAGACTTGCAATTTATCAGGAAGAAAACAGGCAGCCATTTGAGATGCCTGTTCCTATTAGTTAATAATTCTATTGTTTTAATTTTAAGGGTTTAGAGAGTCACCTTAAAAAATGATAGTCCTTCACCTAGCACTTCGGGTACAACGAGGCAGAACCAGACCAGCAGAAGGTGGATGTGGGGAAACTTCTCTGGCTTTCTGGCTTCTCTCTGCCTAGCAGCCCTGGCAGCACCATCGTCTGGGAGGCTCTGGGTGAAGCGGCCCAGCGTGTCCCCCACCCCACCCCCTCCCTGAGGGTGCTGGTGGCCTGCGGGTGCTGATGGCCGGGAGGTACTCACCACGATGCTGGAGGGAGAGCCGGGAACACTGGAGCCTCGGGAGGAGCTGACGCTCCCAGGGGAGGTAAGTGGTTGCTGGGGAGAGTGAAAGGCGGGCGGGTGGGAATGAGCGTGCGTGCCAGGGCCGGGAGCGGGCAGGGCTCTCCACCGGGCGGAGGGCCCCTGGCGGAGGGCGGGAGGGGGCGGCGGGGGTGGGCTTCCCTAGCCCTCTGGGGCCCCGGGATGCCGGGCCGCGGGCAGCCACCAGGTGGCACCGTCGACTCCCGACCTGACCCTCGGCGGGGAAGCCTGGCCCCACCCGCTGCCCAGGCCACCGCCCGGATGTGGGGGCGGCCCCCGCGCACCTTCTGCAGCCGCTCCATGCAGCAGGGAGCCGGCCGGTCGGGTCACTCGCAGAGCCCCGTGCGCGAGGGGAGACGACAGGGCGTCAGGCTCGGCCCGGCTCCTGGGCGCCGCGCGCTCGGGGCCACGAGAGCGGAAAGTGCGGTCCACCCGGCTGTGGCGTCCTCATCCCTCAGAGACTCTCCGGCTGCGGACCGAGTGCCGGGCCTGCGAAGGGAGGGAGGACGTGCCGGTGAGGGCGGTGGGGCCCCGGATTTCAGGGAGCTCGGGAGAGCAGGGCGGAAGGGAGCCAGCGCCCTCCAGGGTTCCGGCTTTCCATACGCTCAGGCCCGGGAAAGCCAGCGCGCGTGGGGACGGCGAGGCGGGAAAAGCGGAGGGGCTGCATTTGTTTTTGAGCCATTGTTCTCTGGCTGGAAAGGAAATGACTGCAGGGGTCAGCCGTTCCGGTGCAGCCTCTACATTCCTGCTTTGTCACACCTGCCGGGCCCTGCCCTGCCCTGGGGCCGCAGGCCGGGTTCAGGCCCCGCTTCTCACTCCCCTCGGCCCTTGCCGCGTGGCCTCTCTCTCTGGCTCTCGGCTGGCCCCTGGCCCTCTTTCCCCCTCAATCCATTGTCCACTGTGCGCCCCTCTGGCTCATAGCCCAGAGGGTCCTACTGAACCTATGAGGTGGACAGACGGGGAGGACGGGATGGAGCCAAACTGACTTGGCATGAGTGGTCAGGTCAAGGGTTGGGGTGGGGGGCTGCCACGGAGAAGAAGGGAGGGGAGGCTGGAGGGAGCCCACATTCCCTGTGTCCCTGTCTCCTGCCCTGGGTTCCACTGCAGGGAAGATGGGAGAGGAAACTGCAGGGAGCCCACAGCCCCCACATCCCTGTCCCTGTCCAGCAGTCAGTCTCACTTGCAGGCATGTGATTTGGGGCCTCGGCCACATCCCAGCTGTCAGAAGCCTGCTCAGGACGCCTGCGCGAGGCTGCCCTCTGCCCTCTATACGGCTGCTTCACTGCAGGACAGCACCCCTGAGGCTCAGCAGGAAGCCATCCCGCCCCACACTGCTCTCTTTGCTCCGAGAGAGCTGGGTCTTGTCTGCTGCAGTAGATTATGAGTTCCCTGGGGCCATGTCTTGGTGTCTTCACCTTCAGCCTTCAACCCTAATTCCTTTAGCAATCCTCCCCCCACCCCTTGCGCTGGACACATAATAACCGTTCAGTGAATGCCTGGCTGAGCTTCCAGCAATGGTGGCAGTGGGACTGTCTTTCCATTTGCTGGCAGTGAGCCTTAGAGTGAAGAGAGCTGATGGCTACAGCAGGTACAGGGAAGAGGCAGCATAAGGTAGAGATTAAAAGCATGAGCTCTGGGGGGGCGCCTGGGTGGCTCAGTCGGTTAAGCGGCTGCCTTCAGCTCAGGTCATGATCCCATGGTCCTGGGATCGAGCCCCACATCGGGCTCCATGCTCAGCAGGAAGCCTGCTTCTCCCTCTCCCCTACTTGTGTTCCCTGTCTCCTGTCTCTCTCTCTGTCAAATAAATAAATAAAATCTTAAAAAAAAAAAAAAAGCATGAGCTCTGGACTGGAGTTCTTGGGGGTGAGTATAGACTCTGCTACTCAGCAGCTGTGTGACCTTGGGCAAGTTACTTACTCTCTCTGTGCCTCATGTTTCTCGTCTGTAAAATGGAAGACAGTACTATGTCATGTATCTATGTCATGGGGAGACTCTGAGTATTAGATAAGTTATAACAGGTAAAGTGCTTAAAACATTGTAAATTCTATGTAGAGTATTAGCTATTATTATTTCTTTTTCCTCAAGGACTAATGAACTTAGATGTCTATTCTATAGCCATTCTTTACCACAGGAGGTAATGAAAGACTGAGGCCACTGGTGCTCCCAATCTTATCATCTGTTACTTTGTATCAGAGCATTCTTCGGTTCACCCTCTCTCCACCACCAAAACCACCGGCTCGCTGCATGAGCAGCCCTCGCTCCCATTTTCCTGCTTCTGCACATGCCCTTCCATTATTCTCTGTCCACCTCCTTGTCTCCCAGATCCCACTTGTCCTTCAGGGTCCATCCTAACCCTCCTCCTCTCGGAGGCCTCCCCTACTATTCTAGTCCTTCTGATCACCCTTCTCTGAATTCCAGTGGGACTGAAAAAGAGACCCATGTAACTTAGCCCTTGATTATATGTTGCCTAATACAGGAACATGTTTTTTTCACTAACCAGAATGAGTGCTAACTTCTGGAGGGCAAAACAACAAAGCAATTGCCATCATTTTTTGAATGCTCATGCTAGGTATTTTGATAAGCACTTTATTTTTTTTTTTAAGATTTTATTTTTAAGTAATCTCTATACCCAGTGTGGGGCTCGAACCTACAACCCCAAGATCAAGAGTCACATGCTCCACCAACTGAGCCAGCCGGGCTCCCCTAATAAGCAGTTTAAAAGGATGATTTGTTTCATCCCCTCCAACATCCCTATAAGGTAGACCCATTTTACAGATGAGAAAACTGAGGCTCAAAGAGGTTAAAAAGTTGTCCAGAGTCATGGAAGTGAATATGACTGTGTCTTCAGCACTGGCGTGGTTCAAAGTGCCTAGCTAGTACTGTGTCAGGTGCATTGTGGGGATAGACTAAAATCTGCCACATTTCTCAAGTCTTCTTGGAATTCTAGAGTCAAGGTTTCTCTAAGACAAATCCCTTGCTGTCAGAGTCACACTAGGTATTTGGTGCCCATGGAAAGACTCCATTCCAGAGCTTTATCCTTCTGTGGCCTTCTTAGCTCTCACTTTGTAATGCATTTATAACTAGGTGTCTGAGGATCAGCATAAACTCTAATACATATTCAAAGAGCTGTTAGCTCTCTTTCACTCCTCTCTGATCTCAACTGTGGGTTTTTTTTTTTTTTTAAGATTTTATTTATTTATTTGTCAGAAAGAGAGAGAGAGAGCACAAGCAGGGGGAGTGGCCGGCAGAGAGAGAAGCAAGCTCCCTGCTGAGCAAGGAGCCCGATGCAGGACTCGATTCCAGGACCCTGGGATCATGACCTGAGCCGAAGGCAGATGCTCAACCGACTGAGCCACCCAGGCGTCCCTGATCTTTACTGAGTTAATAGCCATTGTCAAACTAGTGGTATACATGGCTTAGCCTTAGAGCCAAACACTCATTCATCCATATATCTACCCACCTATCCATCCACCCATCCACCCATCCATCCATTCATCTATCCATCCATCCACTCATTCCTCCACTTGTCCATCGATCCCTCCATTCATCCACACATCCATCCATCCATCCACCAACCATCTACCCACCCACCCAGTCATATATTGCTTTATCCATCCATTCATCAAATACTTCCTGAGCACCTATTCTGCAATAACCACAGACAACATTCTGTGATAAGTCTTATAGAGAAAGGAAAGATGAGGCAAGGGAGCCAAGCTGCCCCTGCAGAAATGAGAAATGTATATAGATAACTCCCACGCAAAGCAGATAAGATAACAGAGGGAGCTGTGAGAGGTCACGGGACGAGGAATCACTTCTGCTGGGGTGTCGAGAAGGGAAAATAAAAAAGATTCCTTAGAGGAGGTATTTGAAGTAGGCCTTGAATGCCCAGTTTGAGTTCATGCAAAAACTAAAGAATGGATTCTTGAAAGAGAAGGAAGGCAGCATAAGCAAAAGTAGGGGCATGGGGGGGGCAGGCGGGGAACGGGGAGCACTGGGTCTGTCTAGGGAACAGCAAATATGGCTAAATTGTAGAGCTCATGAGGTTGAGCAAGAGGTTGGGGGTCAGATTATGGAGGCCTCCAACCCAGACCAAGGGATTTAGATGGCATTTTGTGGGCAACAGGGGCCATAGAATGCTTAGAAACTTTTTTCAAACAATGAAGAGACAGATCCAAGCAGTGCTTTGGGACGATGAATGTGGCTGCAGCCTTGGGAGGGGGGACTGGACAGGAAAGGGCAGCGTGGACAGAGACCAGCCTGGAAGCTATGAGGAATAGTTCTGCCATGGGCTCGTAAGGGCCTAGACCTGTGCGCGTGGCCCAAGATGGACAGGAGGCATATGGTAGAGATCCTAGAGGCAAAATGTGCCAAACGGACTCAATCTGTAGAGCCCCCCAGGGCAGGGGTAGATGGCCGGCTCAGAGACAGAAGAAGGGGCAGCAGTGAGTTCACTTGATGCCTGCTTGAGGTATATTTGGGTACAGCTGACGAGCAGGTGGAATGTCCAAGAGGAACCAGAGGGTGAGGGAGGGGTGGGCTGGGAAGAGATTTAGAAGCCATCTGACTAGAGGTGGTAGTCGGCAAAAGAGGTCGCCAAGGGAGAGAGAAGTTCAAAACCAGCATCCTCGGAAACACCTAGGGGACTAGAAGAAAAATCATCACAGATGGCATAAAACGGACCAGGAAAAGGAGATGGCCCGCTCCTTGGGGCCAGGGGGTGTATCTCGTGCACGTGAGTGCAGTAAGTATGGAGAGCGAGGGTGGGAGGGAAGGGCTGAGGAAAAGTCACGAAGCCAAGAGTCTGTGGCCAGAGAAGGAGAGAAGTGCTGGAGGGAGTATGGCTTTCCATGTCGGGGGCCTCCAGGAGCATTTCCAGAGGAAAAGTGAGGCCTCCTTGTCAGGGCAGGCCTGGCTAGGACACAGGCAGGGAGTGGGACAGAGGGGCCGGAAGGGGTTGGAGAGTGGCTTTGGAGGAGGCCAGATTGGCTGAAGGTGTTTAAGGAAAGGGGAGACTGGAACTCCTTTGTAGGCATTGGGGAGGGAAGAGTGGAGAGGAAGTAGGGTCCCTGCAGGGGGAGGGATGCGGTCCAGGCCCAAGTGGAGGGCTGGCTTTGGAAGGAAAACTTGGGCTTCCCCGAAGGACAGGAAAGGGAAAGTTGGTATCCACAACACAGGGCCCTGTAGCCTGGGCCAGGCCCTTACTTTCCCAGGAAAAGTGACAGGGAAGGTCATATGCAGATCTTACAGGTTGGTGGGAAAGAGGCTGAAGAGAGTACTGGTGGGGAGTGAGGATGGCTGAGCCACCAGGGAGAAGAGAGAGAGTTTCAGTGTGTTCTGGAGCCTCAGGCTGAGCCTGGTGGTGGCCTTGGCACCCTCCCCTTGAACACCAGTGTGTGGGGGGGGGAGGGGGGGCGGGGGGTACTGAATGGGGCGATGACTGTATATCAGAGAGGTACTCGCCCAGGCAAGGAGGGAGGGGAAGGGTCCGTGATGAGCCAAGTCACAGCGGGGCACAATCATGCCCTGAACCCACACTCACACGTGCACCAACATTGCCTTCAGGCATCGCCACTCAGAAATGTGATCTGAAATAATGATGTCTCTGCTCTGTTCCCCAGACCCTTCCTATCCAGGGCGGTCTGCAAGCCCGTGCCCGTGCCCTGGGCTGGGTCTCCCCTGCTGAGCCTCCCTTACCCCGGGGCCACACTCCATCAGGGCTGGCCTGCCAGTGCCCAGTGTGGGAGAGCACACGCCAGCCAGCTGACTGCTTACCTTCCAGGGCACGGCATTTTAATTCGGGGCTCGCCTTAAGAAGTGAAGGTCTTACCGGTGGAACTTTAAGGAAAAATGTGTGGGGTGGAGAGTCCTCTCTCTCTCTCTCAGGAGGGAGAGGGAGAGAGGAAGGAGAGAGGGAGGGAAGGAGGGTTTTCTTGGCTTCTCTCAAATCCCAGCATGCAGGCAACTGCTTACTCCCCCCACGAGCAGCCCCCTCCCCCAAAGCTCCTTCCCTCTCAAGTCAACACCCACTGTCCCCCTCCCCCAGTCCTGACCCTCTCTCCCCTCTGGACACACCCCGCCGGGTCACACAGGCACAATGCGCTGCCTCCATCCCAGCAGCCTCTGGTGGACAGAGACCAAGAGGGCAGGCTGCAGCAGGAAGGGAGGGCAGGATGGAAGGAAAGGGAAAGAAAGGCGGTGGAGGCAGGCAAGCCCAGGTGTTGGAGAGGACCTCCCAGCTGCTCACTCCTCTGGGATGGGGGCGCTCCTCACTCGTCCATCTGCACCCCGCCCGCCCAGGGAGCAGCCGCGCCTTATCGGGGCCACCAGCCCAGCCCCGCCTCTCGCGGCCCGCCTGGCATCTGCCTCTCCGCAGCGACCAGAACCTCTGGGCTTTGGGCTGGGGGGTGATAAGCCCCGAGCGCCCATCCCAGCTGGCTCCTCCCTGGACTGGGGGAAATGAAGAAGGCTCAAGGGGCAGAACCACAGCTGGGAGCCTCCCATCCTAAGTCCTAAGCCAACCAGCGCTCGCGCTGGGCCAGCCACTGTGCCAGGGACATGCACGCATCCCCTCTGCCCTTCACGCAAGCCAGCGCCCTCCCCCTTTAGAGATGAGGAACCACGGCGGAGAGGTGGATATGCCAATGGCCACCCAACTAGAAGTCAGGCCGGAATTCCCACCCAGGCCCGTCTCAGGTCAAAGCCAATGGACACTCTTCTCAGTGGGTCCCCGAAGATCCCACTTCCATCTGAACTTGGGCCTTGGGGCTAACCTTACATGGTGGAGCCACCCAGACTCCTGCTCCCCGGCCTGGCCTGTGGACAAGGAGCAGGGAGGCTTTGTGCCCCTGGGCAGGGTCAGGCCAGGCTGGACGCTGCTGGTGCAGACAGTAAGCGAGTTAAGAAATGAGGCAAACGAGCTGTCCAAGTGGGCTGAGGTCAGGGTGGGCAAGAACTTTGCCCCTCTGCCTTTTCTCTAGTTTCACTCACAGTGGGACCGCCTGCCTTGCCCCCTCCCTGCTCCTTCTCCACTCTTTCTGCTTTCCATTCCCCTTTACTTCCCTTTCTTCATCTTTCCTCCCTCCGCTCTGTTTCCCTTTCACACTGTCCTGCTCCCGGCCCCACCCCCACAGTTACTGTGGCAACAATTCAATGCCAGAAATAAAGGCAGGATCCAGCTAGGTCACCAGTTCCCAAAACAGCATCCCATCCCAGGGTGGAGTGGGGAAGGGCGGGCAGGGGCAGACCAGCCGCAGCAGGGGAGGCCCGCGGGTGTGTGTGTGTGTGTGTGTGTGTGTGTGTGTGTGTGTAGGGGGCACCCATGCTTGCTCCTAAAGGGCATGCGAGAGCAGGGGAGGGCTCCTAGCTTTGGGCCGGGGTACGTGGAGCACCCCAGTAGCCTGTACCCTCTCTCCCCTTTTCTCCTTTCCTCTTTCTCCCCATCCCCATTCTTAAAGCCCTGCTCCATCTGCTAGGACGAGGGTCGGGGTTCCTCTAATACCAACACGATATAGCACCCTCTCACACTCTGATGGAGCCTCAGGCAGGGGCAGGTGGGCCTCCGAATCTGGGTCCCGGTCTGAGAACCCACCTGCTCAAGGCCCTGCCCGGTCTTTGTTCCTGATGGCAGCAGGCCTGGGCCCGGGCACCCCCTCCATTCCTCCTACCTCACACAAATATGCATCTTTCCATCCAGTTTCTCCTGAGCACTCTCGGGTCTCTGTAGCCTTTCTCTCTACCTTCCCTCTGAAGAGGCCTCTCTTCCTGAGTTCCCCCTCAGGCCTGCGTGGTCCTCAGCACACTCCTGCGCTGGCCTCTATTTATAGCCGGCCCGGCTGGTTCGTTGTGGTATCACTTAGGAAAGCTGGGTTAAGAGGGAAGACGCAAGGGTCTTGTGTCCCAAATTCAGCTTTTTGAATTCTGGGGGTATCACTATTCTGGTGTCTACACACACACACACACACACACACACACACACGCACACACACGTGAGCTCCAAAAGACGAATCCCTACAGACCTGCACTACGAGGTGAACAGTATGACTTAAGTGTTCAGCATATGGAGAGGCCAGCAGCACAGAGGCTCACACGTGGACACAGCTTCACACTGTGTGGACTTCACCCACACACGCAGGAGCCCACACTGAAACACCGTTGCAGAACCCATGCGCCCTGCTTGCAAGATCACACCCCCACTCTCCCGGCAGGGCCCCCCCACAGTGACACACGGTGCCACTGACACCCCCTCACACCCACCCACTGAGCCTCCCTGGCAGCCGTTCTCCATGCTCACAATCATCCACATCACGTGCTGACACCCCCTCCCTAAGCTGTGCACGTGTACCAGAACACAGTGCCCCCCATTTACCCATTCCCCGGGAGCTTTCCTGCTCCCCCGTTCCCAAAGCTTGACTGCCTTCCTTCTCTTACACCTGCCCCTGCTCCCCTGACTCTCAAACCCTGGCAACACCGTCCCCTGGGAGGGAAACACCAGGCGCATCTGCCCAGGAAGGGGCATAACTAGCCTCTGGATCCTTCGGGGCCTGAATGTCTGCTCAGCCCCCAGCCCCTTCAAGCACTCCGGCAGGGGCCAAGAGCGAGCAGGGGTCAGGCCTGCGGCCACGCCCTGCCACCCAACCTCACTCTGCATTTGGCTCTCACCGCAGCCTGGCCAGCCAAGGGCGAGCAAGGGGCTCCCCAGGTACCTCCCCACAGGGAGCACACCCATCACCACCAGCATTCAGGTGTCTGTGTGTCTGGCTCCCCTCTCAAGATCTGTGGCACACTGGGAGGGAGACTGGCAACCCCTTCCTCTCTCCTCTGTACGCGCTCCCTGTTATTCAGCAAAGAAAGAACAGCTCCCCAGCCCACCCCTGTCCCCCTCATCCCATCGCTTGGACTTCTGCCCAGCACAGCTAGGTGAAGGGGGGACTGGGGTGACAGTATGAAACACCCCGACCCTCTCTCTCAAATCAGGTTTGAGGAGATCAAACCCAGCTAGTCCCAGGGTCTGGCCACGCAGGACCATTCTCCCACTGAACAGGGGCCACAGCTGACCCCCTCCCCAGGGGATCCCTGCCACCACCCAGAGCCCAAAGTGCCCACAGAGGGCAAGAGAGGTGGGAGACCTTGCCACCTACCTCTTCCCAGACAGTGGGGCCCAGACGCTCTGAGGCCCCAAGGCCCGGCTGGGCAGGCGCCCGCCCAGGTCCCAGGGCTGCCGCTTTTTCTCAAGAGCCAAGGTAATAGGCGTCTCTTCCAGGAACCCAGTCGTGCTTTCCCAGAGCACAAATAACAGGAAAAAAGCCGGCTTGGGGTAGGTGGGTGGGTGGGTGGGGGGAGGTGGTACAGGAGGGGACCTACGCTCTGGGCCCCCACCCCCTCGTCCCCACCCTGCTTCTCCACGAGCTGGCGCTTGGAGCCTGCGTCTGGCGGGGCGGGCCCCGCCCCCCCCCCCCCCCCCCCCCCCCCCCCCCCGCACCGCCCCACCTCCAGCTGATAGCGTGTGGCCGGCCTGAGGGCGTGCGCCTGTGTCTGTGTGTGTCTGTCTGCTCTTCCACCTCGATCACTCGCTGCAGCTCAATCCGTCTCAAACAAGAGGAGCATTAACCCGGCATCATGACGAAGCGGAATCGGAAGCCGACTCGGCGAGCTGCTGGCCTTTTTCCCTTTCCCATGGCCCCAACCCTGTAACGCTCATGCTTGCTCACACGCACACATACACACACAGCCCCTCAAGCCTCCGCAGAAACGGCCGGGGTTTGAGTTGGGGTGGAGGCAAAAGGGGGCTCTGCTGATAACCGAGGGGTGACAACACCTGGTTCCTCCCAGCACCTGCATCTCCTACTCATCACCTAAAAGCAGCAACGCAGGCCTCTGGGGGCCCTGCCTCCCTGGGGTGCTAAAGGGCACAGATGCTCAGGGGCAGGGAGAGGGCAGAATGCCAGAACTGGTCACCCAAGGAAGGATTCACCCCCTCCTGGGGAGGCCTGAATGGGAGGATCTGAGAAACCCGGTCCTCAGCACGGGAGACTGGGCTAGTCCTTCGGTACCCTGGATCCCCTGGGAACTGTGAGAAGGACCCCGTCTTTCACCAGGGCAGCTGCATCAGAAGGCAATTTCCTGCCAGGTGATGCCCCCGTCCCAGCACAGAACTACAGGATGTGCCTTCCCTGAATGGGAAAACCCTCAACCACTCCAGGACCCTGCCACTGGCCCATTGGTTCTCTCCGAGCTCAGCACAGAGCCTGGGTCATTTGTGACCCCTGGGGGGCAGGGGAGGGAGCCCAGCCAGCTGACCCTGGCCATGGCCCCAGTCTCCTTCCACCTCACAGCAGACTTGCCTACCTAGGCAGCCCTTGTTGTTGCCCCGGTAACCACTGCCCACAGCCGGTCAGCTGATGGTGTGAGCTGTCCTTGGGGAAATCTAGAATCTGGGGAGGGGGCTCTGGGGTGTCCAAATGGAAAATCACAGGGGAAGGGGCTTGCAGGGGACAGGTGAGAGTGTGCCCTGGGCCTCTTTCTCAAAGAAAAGAGGATGGGAGGGGACAGATAGGGACAGGAAGGGAGGGATGTCTGGGGTAGTGGAAGACAGAGAAGAATGGATTCTGAAGGATGGGCTCCAGCGAGAAAGGAGAAATGAAGAAGGCAGGCAGCTGAGTGGCTGAGGAAGAGTAGGAAGAATTCAGGCTTAGTTGCTGGGGACTGGCTGGGGAGGGGGCCCTGTAGGAAGGAACCAGAAAGCCTGGGGGTGGGGGAAGAAACCTTTAGGAAAAAAAGGTCAGGACATGAGGCAGGAGGGGGTGTACTTTTGATGTGGCAGGAGGGGCCACAGCTTTGGAGGAGGGGGACCCAGGCCTTTCTGGGAAACCAGCCCAGTCTCTGCTTTCCTCCCTGCAAGCCCACCCTCACTGCCCAGGCCCCGCCGGCTCAGTTGTGCACAGCCTCCTGCCACCCTTCCGGCACACCGAGCGCCTGGTGCTTTTCCACCACAGCCCATTAGGGCCCCTGATTTTCCCACTACCGCAGTTCCTGCCCTGCTCCCACTTGCCAGCCCCCCCAGACCCCACCCCAGGAGTTTTGTCTTCCGGTGCAAGGGTGACCAGAGGTCGGGCTGGAATGAGCTGTTGCGGGGAAGGACAGCTGTGGACAGGGGCCCGGAATGAGGTGGCTCATGAGGAATGGGTAGGAGTCTCTGGGCCGGGAGGAGGGGAACATTCTCCTCTGCGAAGAAACAAGCACATCGTCGTCGGACAGAGTGGGGGAAGCCAGGGGAAAGGGCAGGGGGAGGGGGAGGGGGAGGGAGGGCTCTCCGGTACCTTCAGGGGCCTGGGGCGTGGGGCAGGAGCACGGCAGCTTCCTCGGTGACATACACCTCCATCCCTCGGCGCATCTCCTCTCCGCCTCCCGTTGCCAAGACAACCTGCCGGCTCAGCCACGGCGGCAGCAGGGAGGGGGAAGGAGGCGGCTGTGGCTCCCACTGCCTCTTCAGGGATGGAGGGAGGCGGCCTGAGGTCTGCTTGGTGCTGGGGTGGGGGTGGGGGAGCTGCAGGGGCCAGGGCTCCCCCTGAGTCTCCCCTACCCCCTTCCATGAGGCTCTGGGGTTGGCTCCCGGGGCGGCCTCAGGACAGCCCTAATTTAGGGCCAGAGAGCAGGACAGCCTTGCAGACAGAGGCAGCACTGGGCAGTGTCCCCCCTTCCAGAAAGCTTGGTGTGCAGTTGGGGAAGAGGGTTAGGGACAGGGAGGGATGACCTCTGTTGAAGGGTCAGAGGGTGGCTTCCAGCAGGAAGGCAAGGCCCTGAGCATGGGTGGGGTGGACATGGGGTTGTGGGCCCAGAAGTCTGCCCCCCACCTGACCTCAGCTGTCTCTGAGCACCTCCTCCTAGTCCTGAACCCTCTCATTCCCCGTGACCAAGAGGACAGTTTTCCAATCCTGCAAAAGCCCATTCCCACTGCCCCCCACTCTAGAGGAATGTCCTTCCACGGGGCGGGAGAGCCACCTTGTGCGGGAAGAGTCTGCCACCAGCCAGCCCTGGAACCAAGGCCACTGCAGAGTGCAGAGTTAGGGCTCCCTCTGTCGGCCTGAGGCATGGTACCTGTCAAGGTCATTCCTTCCTGAGAGGGATCCTGGGGGTGTGTGTGTGGGGGGGGGTGGGGGTGCGGTGTGTTGTGTGTGTGTGGAGGTGTGTGTGTGTCAGTGCCCACAGCGTATGTGTGTGTCGTGTGTGTGTGTGTGTGGG